CCTGGTCGTTCAGGTAGCTGTGGAGGTAACTGACCGCACAGCTGCAGAGCCAGGGATTGTGGGTCAGGTAAACGTAAGGCAGCTCGGGTTTGGACGAGAAGAAGCGGTCGGGCATCAGCGAGACACTGTTATTCTCCAAGTCGAAGGTCTTCAGGCCGCTGGAGGAGACGCACTCCAGGAGACGCGGAGGCAGCGCGGGAAGCTTGTTCTCAGACAGGTTAATGACCTCCAGACGCGGCAGCTCGCTGAAGGTGCCGTCATGAAGGGAACGAATCTGGTTCTTGTCTAAGTAGATCTCCATCAGACTGGGAGCGCAGCAGAACACCAGTCCTCCCAAACCAGTTAACCTGTTACCAGACAAACGCAAGACGCTCAGCTTCTCCAGCACTGGACCTGAAAGAAACAGAGTTTGAGACTCTCATCACATCAGAATGAAAGTTTTGAGCCGTTTAATTCATGTGTAAACAAGCACTTGACTAAATCTACAACCATAAAAAGGCTTATTATAACAGAAAATAATAATGTTATCATCATAATGAAAAATACAAATTAATAAAATACAAAACCAAATCTACAAAATTTACTTGTGCTGTAACTTGTTTTAATACTCTAAACTTTGTAAACCACAAGAACCTAACTTCTTACAAACATAAAGACACTTGTTTTAAAAATTAAAAAATAATAATAAAAAAAATAGCATTTTAATTTTGCATTTTGCTTTTTAGTATTTGCATTTGAATTTTCATAAATTTTTGCATTTATTTTGCATTTTAAATTTCACACTTTAACTTTTGCATTTTAATTTTGCCTTTAGATCTTTGCATTTTAATTTTTGCATTTAGCTTTTTTATGTTTTAATAATGTCTTTAATTTCCACTGAAATTTTTGCATTTAGTTTGAATATCACAATTTGCATTATTTTATTTTATTTTTTTACATTTTGCATTAATTTTGCTTTTTATTTTTTGCATTTTAATCTTTATTGAAATTTTAGCATTTTGCATTTTTTTTCAACATTTTGAATTTCACACTTTGCTATTTAATTTTTGCATTTAGCATTAATCTAGTGTTTTTGACAGTTAGAGTAAGATGACTGATGCGCTTCTGTTTACCCGGCGGCTCCAGTGTGCTGATGTGATTGTGGCTCAGGTCCAGCTCGTGCAGCTCTGTGAATCCAGAATACATGGATCAGGACAGAGAGGTGAACTGGTTTCCAGTGAGAACCAGGACCGGTGTGTCTGTGTTGATGCCAGCGGGAAACAGCTGTCAGTCCCTGACTCACGCAGCTGGCGCGGGGCCGATGGTCCTGGTTCCTGTCGCTCTGACAGCTGCTGCTCGTGACGATGAAGCTCCGCATCAGGAGGAAGACCAGGATGATGAAGTGTGGCATGATGAAGGCTGCCGGATATTAAGACACTGTTGAGCAAAACTGTGTCACCACTTGTTAGAACTTCATAAAACAGCATCGGCCACTCCAGCAACGGACGCAACCCGGAAAACTATCGGCATTCATTTTTGCCGATAACCGATAGTTCCGCCAATCAACTATCGGTGCCGATGAATCGGTCGACCTCTACAAGAGACATTAAAAATCTTAATTATTCCACATTTTTTAACGGTGGTGTACATTTTTAAATTAAGATGATTTACTTCCCTGCAGAACGAGACTTTTAAGAATGAACGCTTAAATGTTCTTAAGCACAATGAAAATGTCACACAAAAAAAATTGATAAAGACATTTCTTTTGCGAGATACTAAAATTCTAAAAAGATGCTCATTGTGCATAATTTATAATAATAGTTTGGTAACACTTTATTTTAAGGTGTCTTTGTTACACACGTTACATGTACTTACTGTTATAATAACAATTAATTATGCATAATTACATGCAACTGTAACCAAACCCTAACCGTACAGTAAGTACATGTAGTTTACTCAGTACTTAAATGTGTAATTACACTGGAACAAGAACGCCTTAAAATAAAGTGTAAGCAATAGTTTTAATAGTAAAAGCACTGGTAAAGAAAGCACCACTGGAGTAAATGAGCAGGAGCTGTGAGCTGTGAGTCCAACACAAACCACAGGCGCCTCCATACACCAGCACATATCCATCCCACAATCAGCTCTCCTTGGGTTTCCTGAGAAACGCTCATTTCTATAACGCCTGAAATCTACAGCAGTTATTATTAGTGTAAAATGTGTCAAGTCATATTTCCGAGTAGTAAACGGTTTACTAACAAGGACTAGATGAGCACATGTCGCTGTTGGATGTCAGTCTTTTTAAGGCTTTTAAAACTACGATCCCGTGACTTTTTAACCGTTTTGATCATTTTAAGCTTTATTGTTTTGAAAAACGCCCATCTTCAACAATAATAAAACAACAACAGAGTCAGTCAGATATTGAAGAGCTACAGACGCCACCCAGACAGCAACATAGTGTTGGCCCAGATCCAGCCCACATCTGGCCCATGTGAAATCCATGCGGGCCAGATGTGGGCCGGATCTGGGCCGAAACTGTCTGCTGTCACACCAGCACATATCCATCCCACAATCAGCTCTCCTTGGGTTTCCTGAGAAACGCTCATTTCTATAACGCCTGAAATCTACAGCAGTTATTATTAGTGTAAAATGTGTCAAGTCATATTTCCGAGTAGTAAACGGTTTACTAACAAGGACTAGATGAGTACATGTCGCTGTTGGATGTCAGTCTTTTTAAGGCTTTTAAAACTACGATCCCGTGACTTTTGAACCGTTTTGATCATTTTAAGCTTTATTGTTTTGAAAAACGCCCATCTTCAACAATAATAAAACAACAACAGAGTCAGTCAGATATTGAAGAGCTACAGACGCCACCCAGACAGCAACATAGTGTTGGCCCAGATCCAGCCCACATCTGGCCCATGTGAAATCCATGCGGGCCAGATGTGGGCCGGATCTGGGCCGAAACTGTCTGCTGTCTGGGCAGCTTCTGTCAACAAAAACACTAGAAACTGTCGTCTTTATACACATATGCGTGCTTTATTGACATCTTTAAAACTCCAAAATAACTCAAAACCAAAAAAGAGCAACAGAAGAGCAGAAAAACAAGCGGCAGAGGTTCATCATCGTGTTGGAAACGACGTCAAAGTCAACCTCAGAACAGTGAACGGTGCATGAGTGTGTGTTTGTGCAAATCCACTCCTCGCACACAAACACACACTACTCAATTCAATCATAATCAAACTGAAGAAGAGGAAACTAAAAGAACGTCGTCATCATCAAACACAATCAGCAGATTGTCCAGAAGGGTTAGAAAACGTCTTTAATAACCCCGCCCACCTGCCACGCAGTTACCATGACGACACCGTGCAGCCTCACACAAGCAGGACTGATCTAAATCTGCCTCAAAAATAACGTCAAACCGGATCAAACCACTGTCTGTGGCACAAAGGCACAGGAATCATAATCCGAATAAATAGTCAAAATATTTCTGCCATCTGATTGAGTTTCAATCCTAAGAAATCCTAAAAAAACACCAACTCTAAAACTCACACAACTTGCATCTTCACTCCACATGTCCTTTGCATTGACCTTTGAACTCTCACATCACTTTCACCATCAGCATCTGTTAGTAAACTCATTCCAGCCCTACACACTTGTGCATTTCTCATTTCTCTCCTCCAAATCATTTGAATCATTTGGTTAGTTTTAATGAACTGGTTCTTGATTCGAGTCATTCCGTGATGGGGGGCGTTTTTTCAGCTCTGGTTCAATGTTCGTTAACTGAGCTGTGAATCGACGAGTGTGAATAAATAGTCAAAATATTTCTGCCATCTGATTGAGTTTCAATCCTAAAAAAACACCTACTCTAAAACTCACACAACTTGCATCTTCACTCCACATGTCCTTTGCATTGACCTTTGAACTCTCACATCACTTTCACCATCAGCATCTGTTAGTAAACTCATTCCAGCCCTACACACTTGTGCATTTCTCATTTCTCTCCTCCAAATCATTTGAATCATTTGGTTAGTTTTAATGAACTGGTTCTTGATTCGAGTCATTCCGTGATGGGGGGCGTTTTTTCAGCTCTGGTTCAATGTTCGTTAACTGAGCTGTGAATCGACGAGTGTGATGAAATCTCGTGTAGTTTAACATTGATCACCTGGCTCAGTTTATTACACTAAAGACCATTCCTGCAATGCTGAGTTGGTTGAAAAGACCAGTTGAAAGACTGAAATAAGATGAAAGGTGAGTCAAATGATTCTAGCAGCATCTGAACATGTACTGAAGCCAGAACGTTTGTGTTTTGAGTTGTTCCGTTCTGAATCAGGTGAATTAATCATTTGCAAGAACCGGTTCAAAAGAACCAACTTCCTCAGATCTCTGGCGTTTCCTTCAGTGATCTCAGGTTATCGGCATCTCATTAAGGCTGAACATACGGACACTAATGCACAACTAGTCCTGGGCCGAGTCATTGCTGGAGGTACGTGATCCTGAACAACACCAAACGCACAGACAGAGAACAGAGTTTGGGTTAACTACTCTCGGACCGCCCACACATGCATATTGCACTTAAAATAATGAGAGCTTTGCAAAAACCACAAGCTGTAGTCTGATTGGATGACCAGGAGTCAGTGTGCACAAGACTAAAGGCCGTTCACACCAAGAACGATAACTATAACGATAGAGATAGTAGCGTGCTCACCAGTGGACGATAACATTCTGTTTATTGTAAGCGCTGCTGTTTTGTCGTCTGTCGCTTTAAATGCTCGAGCTCGGATGGATTCTGATTGGCTGTCAATGTTTTTGTCGTCCATCAACTGGAAAAAACATTGTTTTGAAAGTGATTCCAATTATATCGTTCCTCTGTCATTATCATTATAGTTGTGATGCGGACTTGTTCAAAAATTTGCATACTGAAAAAAGCCGGCTGTCCATTATCAAAAGTGTAGGGATACATAAATGACTGCTTTTTTGGCGAAATTTCACAGACGGAAAAAAAGGTCCATTGTTTCTTACAAACCAAGAAATCACTTTCAATCCAAGCAGCTTTTTGTTGGTCAATGCAGCAAATTTGCGAGACCAACTTGAACCAGTTGTGAAATCTGCGTGGGGAAATCTTCCGCGAAAAATTCTCAATCGCGTAGATTCCTATTAAAACGACTTGATTTCACCTGCAAAAATGTGCGGAACTAATCGTTATAGTTGTGATGTGGAGTTCTAATTAAGTGATGGTTACATTAGCAAAACATATTCAAAATGTAACAAACTAAAAAAGTATTTTGTCCATAATCAAAAGTGTACTGATACATAAAACACTGTTTAAAGCAAGGTCACATCTGCAAATTTTTGGCAAAATTTCGCAAACGAAAAAAATGATCATTGTCTCTTACAATCCAAGAAATCACTTTCAATCCCAAGTTTTTGTTGGTCAACGCAGCAAGACCAACTTGAACCAGTTGCGAAATCTTTCGCTCTCATGCGAAATTCCCAATCGCGTAGATTCCTATTAAAACGACTTCATTTCGCCTGCAAAAATGTGCAGAACTACAGTAAATGTGCGCTCACCTTAAGAGCGAATATTAAACCTTCATCATCATAGTTCTCTCTCTCGTCGCGAACAGGTCTTAACTGTCACTCAAACACTCTCTTCCTGTCAAAAGTGGGCGGTTCTTGGCCAGAATGAACTCTCTGCTGATAGTCTGGCTACACGAGACTGTTAACTAACCCATCAAAACAACACGGCTTGTATTTCATGACATCGTAAGTGAAGGACAGTAAAACGACGGACTCGCGCACACATCAGACGGGCGTTTCTTTGCTCTTCAGGTCGGGGGCGCTGTACTGCCGTCTCATGCGCGGCGGCGTGATGTAGCCATGTGGTTTTTGGTTTCTGCCGCGCTGTTGATCGGAAAGCGTGTGCGGTAGAGCCTGGAAAGCAGGCCACTGATGATTGATGTACGGTTGTGCGTACGCCCCCTCCCCGCGCGCGCAAGGACCCGGCGACTGTCGCCGATAGTGACCGCGTCCCGAATGCTGCGCGCCGCTATTGTTGTGGTGCCCGTTGCTATAGTAACCCTGGTTGCCAGGCACGGTGGAGCCGTCCAGTGAGTTGCGCCTGTAGCGCCACTGTTGCTGAGGAAACGGATTGCCGTTGCCATAGTTTCCGTTGCCGTATTGGGGAGGTTGCCATGGGCGACTGGGGGAGGGCGCGCGCATGACGACCGGCACTTGGAACGGTAGAGGAAGTAACGGCATGCCGGGGACGGGGCCTCGTCCCTCGTTGCGCTCATCCTTGAGATCGTCCAGAGTGACGGATGCATTCGGGCCCCAGGAGAGCCGGTGCTGTGGGTTGCTCTTAAAGGGGAATTTCAGCTTGCAGTCCTGAGGGGGAATGAAGCGTCCCGTTCCAGGAAGGTGGACCACGCCCTCCCCGGCCCCGGCCCCGCCTCCGGCTCCGCCCCCTCTGCGCAGCAGCTTGGTGATCTGCTGCTGCTGCAGGTTGTGCAGACGCATCTGCTCCTGCTTGAGCCAGCGCAGGCGGCCCCTCCGGAAGGCGGGGTCTTCTTCCATCAGCCGTGACACTCGCTCCTCCTTAGGGAGGGGCTCCAGAGGGCCATGCCCATCCGGGTCATCGCCCCGCCCCTGATGGCCGTTCACAAGCAGTTCCTCTGATTCGTCATCATCATCATCATCCTACACAAACATAATGTCAACCATTACCGACTCCACTCAGAATTGAGCTGAGAATGCCTTTAAATTCCAACTGAATTTCGAAATTTGATTCAAATTTGAATTGATGTAACAAAAAGGATGCAGAATTGCAAAATTCTGCAAAACTGTCATTTTTAACTAGAAGGCTTGTCAAGATAATCTCAGAATGTCAGAATGTTGTTGTTGTTTTTTTAAAGCCTTAAAGTCTGAAGGTTTATTGGCCTTAAAGAGAAGGAAAGAAACAAAGAAACTAAAGAACAAAAAGAAAACAATTAACAAAAATTTTAAAAGAAAGAAAAAGAAACAAAACTAGAAAAACAAAAAAGAAAGAAAAAACAAAGAAACACAAAAAAGAAAAACTGGAGAACAAAAAATAAGAATATCAAAACAAAGAAAGCAAACAAAAAAATTAAAAAAAAGGACTGAAAGTGTTTGAAATGTCCATGTACTTTTGCATCCATTCATTTGTCCTTTTTTAACCATGACAAAAAAAAAAAGCTTGTTGTATTTTTAAATGCTGTGATAAAAACCAAAATTGAAATTAGAACCGTACACACAGATTGCTGCCCAAAAAAGTAAAATATCGACTTCTTTTCAGATTTTTGTTTATGACTTTTTGCACCTTTAATAAACATTTGAAAACTGCACAAATTGATATAAAAAAAATTCAATTTCAACAAGTTTTATTTGGCCAAATTAGAAGTAATGCTTCTCCCGCAACAATGCAGAGACTTAATACAAATATGATTTTAAAATAGACATTGTAGAATCCTGGGAACTTTATCGTCATGAAAGTATATTTTGGGGTATAATTTTGTCATAATTGGGTCACAGTATTGGAGAGGAGCATGCATGGCCACGCAAAGAACGTACAAAGTACATCGTGTTAGAGCGCTATGCACGAGGCTTTGATATACGGGGCAAATATATAAATATAATATAGAAATATATAAAATTATAATTTCTCCTACTTCTCCAGATAAAGACAGGCCAGTTCCAGAATCAAATCACTGATGGTGCTTCTGAAATCAGTGCACTAGCATCTATTTTGACATATTTCTACCCTGTCCACTGATAGGGACATCTGCATATATATGCCATATACAGTGGGTACGGAAAGTATTCAGACCCCCTTAAATTTTTCACT